TTTTTAAGTTTATTTATTTAATCTCTACACTCAATGTGGGACTCGAACTCATGACCCCAAGATCAAGAGTCGAGTGCTCTTCTGACTAAGCCAGCCAGGTGCCCCTCCATTCTGTTTTTTATGCTGTTATTTTTATACATTTTACATATACATATATGTTTAACCCTTTAACACATTAAACAGTTATCTTTTAAAGACTTTTTTTAAATGAGGAAAAGTCTTATATTTACTCACATATTTACCATTTTTCAGTGCCCTTGATTCTTCTCCATCTGTTATTTTCCTTTTTCCTGATGAATTTTTAATTTCTTATAGTGCAGGTCTGCTGGCAGTGAAGTCTCTGCTTTTGTTTTATTTACAAAGTGTTTGTTTTGCCTTCATTTTAAACTTTTTATTTTGAAAAGTTATAGACTCAGAGACTCATAAGTTTGCAGGTTCGCCTCAGTTATTTCCCTTCTCTCAGGAATCACGATTCTGAGCAGTCTGAAAACAGTTGTTTCATATATTTTGCCCAGTTTCTAGTTGCTTAGTAGAATGGGAGGTAAGCCCATTCATCATGCTTAGAAGTCTCTGCTTTGATTGTTAAAAGAGATCACAAGCACCAATGGTTATGTACATTCTGCTTCTGCATTTGGCATTACTGTTGAGGACATTCATGTGTCACTCAATAGCCCCCATCTAATACAGCACTTCAAAAATGAGTTATATAATATATATATAATAATGTCTATTTCTTTCTTTTGTCTTTTGCCCTGTCTGCAAGGAAAATCAGTCAAGATTTGCACTAGATCATCGCAGTTTTGTTGACCTAGAGGTGACACATTTGCATTCTTATTTTCCACTTAATCTTTTTTCCTTTTTATTCCTATTTTGTTAATGTATTTATAAAAGCAGTAGCCTGCACCCCTATAGCACATTTTTTTCTTTCTTTCCCTCTTCATCCCCTCCCCTGTATTAGGTATTTTTTTGATTGCGAGGAATAGAGACTTTGTGATTGCCTTTAAGTAACTGAGTTTAAGGATTTACAGAAGATTAGACAACAACACAGCCGGTTCTTATAGCAAAAAGAATCAGCCATAGATCCAGGCCTCATGCACCCTCAGAAATGGGTGCCTTTGTTCCCTGTTCAGGTTTTCCTGCCGAGTTAGTGATTCTCATACTTCTAATCCTTCTCTGACCAGTGCTTCTGCTGCTCTCTGTTAGCTGTCTCATGTGTGTCTGTTCTCTTCTGGAGCCCTGCCTGTGTGCTCTTCTCTCTCATTCTCATTACTAAAGCTCACAGTCACATTCCGAAGGAGAGTATCTGATTGATTCACTTAATGTTGGTGCCAGGCCAGCTCTTAGGTCATTAGCCAGCTGAGAGATTCTCTGTTCGTGGGTCATGTGCCACACTTAATTAAACAGGGGCATGTACAAAGTATGGTGACATATAAAACTTGTCCGAAGGGCCATTGGCATAGCAGGCATTCAGCATCTTCCATTCCTCCTCCTTTTTAACAATTGATTGACCTAACTTATTAAGGACAGTTATTAGACTGGATTGTCCCCAAAACTAGTCAGCTACGTATTTATAGATTAAGGTTTAGATGAATTGCTTATCTCATTCCTGCAATGTTAAGGTTTTTTTTCTCTTTCAATTCTTAGGCACAAAACAAAGGATAGTCTTCACCACCTTTTAGCCACAACTTAAAGTATACCCATGGTACTGATTGTTGGTCCAAGAAAGCCCATCTGTTAGAGACTGTGAAGAGAAAATTCAAACATTTCCATTCTTGTTCGCATCTCTAAATTTGGCAGAAGAGATAGGAGCTGTGAGCTGAAATAAGGTTTTTGGATTATTAGCTCCACCTGGGTTTGAATCCTGGCTTTCCCATTTACTAGATGCTAGATGAGTATCTTCTAAGCTTCAGTTTAATCATGAATAAAATGGGGATCATGGTATTTGCCTCATGTGGTGGTTAGGATTAGATGATAAGGTGAATGCAAAGCAGTTAGCAAAGTGCCTGGTGCATAATTAATGCTTAATAAATGTAGCTCCCATTATCTCTAGATCATTAAGTCTTATCAAAAAAGGTTACTGTAGTCCATCAGTAAGTTCTTAGTGCTAAGGAAAACTAAGATTTCTTGGTGCATGAGCTGAGACCTGATTATTGAGCCCTGTTTACTCAGCACTGTGCAAGGTACCAACTGGGTATACAAGAGACATATTGTGCTATGATTCTTGCTTTCTAATCCCCACTAAGAAATGTCAGTCCCAGAAAAATTTTTAAGGAAATTCAACTCGATGATGGTATTATATTGTTAGAATTCAGTCTCTGTTACTAACTGTGTGACCTTGGGCAGATTGTTTCTCTGTGCCTCTATTTCTTCATCTGTGAAATGGGGAAAATACCTCATAGGATTACTGTAACAATGAACAAATGAGTTAATATATGTAAAGCTCAAAGGACAATGTCTGATAACACGGTAAGTGCTATATGTAAGTTGCTCCTGCTAGATTATGACTCCTAGCAGTTTAATAATTGAAGCCTCCTTGGGCTTAATCGACCAGTTTTTTTTCCTTTGAGTTTAAAGTGAATAGGTTTCTTTGTAGGGGGCTTATAGTATATCTCTAGCCTCCATCATCAGGATCTAGCTGGTGAGAGATGAGTGAGCTGAAGGACATGGTCTACAGATAATCTTGTTCCATTTTGAGATTGGATACCACAGTATCTGTATAATGCCAGCCCTCCTTTAGTGATGCTTTGGCAGGAGAAACATATATTGAAAGTCCTACAAAGCTGGTTTTTTCCCCTTACTAAAATTTTTTTTGCGGGCCTAGAACGATTGGGGTGCTAGTGATGTGAATGTAGGATATGGGAAAGGCAATTTGATTTGAGACCTTTGATTTTAACTTAAGACATCCAGCAGGCAAGGGATTTTCTAATCTAAAGCTACTTCCCTTCTTAAAGGAGAAATTCTTTTCTGATTTATATTTCCTTCTCAAGAAGTGAGATTAATACGTTTTCTTCCCATATTAGTGAGATTGAACATCTTTTCATTATGTTTATTGATCATTTGAATTACTTTTGTGAATTGCCTATTCATGTCCTTTGACCTCTTTTGTTTATGAGGAGATTACTCCTGTAGAGTGAGGACATTAAAACTTTGCCAGATACGTCTCAAATGTATTTTTCATTTTGACAATTGTCTTCTTTTACCCTTGGTTGTACTTTTTTATTTTAACCGCACAGAAGCTTGTAATGAATCTATAAATTTTTCCTGAAGAGTATCATCTCGTTATGGTTAGAGAATTTCTGCTGAATGTTATACAACATGTCATAGTTTATGTGTAGACTGATCCACTTAATAAACATTTTTCCTTACAGAGAGGTGATTGATTGTCACATGATTCGAAGAGTCTTTGCAAACTAACATAGACCTGTGGCTCTAACACCATAATCACAATAGCAGGCACCTACTGCACAACAGCTTTGTGTCAGGCACTATGCTAAGTCTTTTATGTACTGTGTTCCTAATGTTCGGCTTCATGCTAGATAGTATTATTGTCTGTATTTCATAGATGAATCAAGTGGGCCTAGAAGAAGTGAAGTGATTTGCCCAGGTCACAGAGCTAGTTAGTGGCTGGATTGGAATTTTAATTTAAGTCTGCCTAACTTCAAAGTATATACTTTCTCTACAAAGCTCAACTTCTTGAGGCTTCCAGTAAATTAGATTGGTCCTAAAAGTTAAGTAAATATCTTTTACCAGAACTTGAAAAGATGGTCTGTAGCCTAGTTCAACTGCTTTTGGTTTCTGAGAGCATAGTGGAGAAGATAATGGGAAGTGTGTGAGCTAGCTGAAAGAAAAGTCTACTGTCTAGGGCAGTGGTTTTCAATCAAAGTGTGGTTCCCAGGCCAGCAGCATCAACATCACTTGGGCATTTATTAGATATGCAAATTCTCAGGTCCCACTGGAGACCTACAGAATCAGAAACTCTGGGGCTGGGACCCAGTAATCTGTTTTATAATACTTCCACTGATTATGATGCATGTTGAAATTTGAGAATCACTGGTCTAGGGAAATTATTTTGTTTTCTCTAATCATAATTTCTGTTTTTGCAAGCTTCAACCTAAGTCTCAGCCCTTAAGTGCAAAATTAGCATTATCAGATGGTGGCAAAAGTATGGAGTCAGACAGGAGCCAGTTTTGAGATTGAGCATTTAAGGCAAGTCCACCTCCCTGAGCCACAGTTTCCCCTTTCCAAAAAGATGTTAATAACAACTATCTCCATATGAGATTTTTTTTTTTTTTTTTTTTTTAAGAATTAGGTAAGATAGTATATAAAGTGCATAGCACCTTGCCAGGCTCCCAGGTGTTTGAGAAATTGCCTCCAGCAGTTTTTCTTGTTAGCAAAAGGCCCCCATCTGCCTTCTATTCTCAACTTTTCTTGTTTCTTGAATGTATTTTGCTGTCTTGGAACTCTGGGCCTTTATATTAGCTATTTCTCTTGGATACCCGCACCCCCACTCCTCTTTACCTCACTAACTTCTAGACATCCTTTTGATTCCTGCTTCTGGTTTACTTACCCTGGAGAGGGCTTTCTCAAACCCCCACCCTCCAGTCTCTGTGCTTACACAGCAGCCTGTGTTTCTTCTGTCACTGTACTTACCACAAGTTTTGGAATCGCCTGTCTCCTATATAAACTTAATTGAGCGCAGGTACAGCGTCTTGTCTACCACCATATTCTAGAGATCACTAAAGTTCCTCACTCACTGTAGGAGCTAATAAGTGTTGAATGAATGAATGGTGGCTGTCATTATTGCTTCATCATCATCATCATCATCATCTGAGAGCAAGCTCCCCTCTCTGGCTTACAGTTTTTGTGCTGACTGCTTGTGATAATCATAGTATTAGGACCAGTGCCTGTTTTCTCTTTCCCTGAAAGCACATGCTTTGACATAGGCTGACATGGGCGAGTTCACTGAGCTGCTTCCTAACCACGATCCCTCTGTGTCACAGGTGCCTCGGGGGAACTGTATGCCCTGATGGGTCAAGTTTATCATATGCAGAACCCAAAATGGCAGCATCCTTCGGACCTCACCATGAGGTGAGTGGGTGATTAGGAGGAGGAGGAGGAGGAAAATTTGGCTGTAGGAGGAATGTTGTGGGGAGTTGGGGTGTAATTGTTGTTTAATTCCAGAGGTGGGAAAAGAAACAGTAGAGTATAAGGGAATAAGAACTGAGCTGAAATTCAGGAAACAGGGGGTCCAGTACTAGCTTTGCAGTTTATAACTTAGCTATATGATTTTGATCAAGTCATGCCACTTCTCTGGTCCTCACATCACTGAAACTAATATGTTGGACTAATTGATGTCAAAGGGCCTTTCTATTCTAGATCTTCTGGATTCTTGATGTAGTGTGGTTTTACAGATTTATTCAGTTACTTTGATCCAGTTACTAAGAAACCTTGGAGTCATCTTTGGTTCTTTTCTCACCCCATACTCAGCCCATTAGCAAATCACATAAGCTCTACATACAAAATATATCCATAACCTGACCATTTCTCATCATTTTCACTTGGACTGTTGCAAGTCTCCTAAATGGTCTCCCTGCTATTCTCAACTCAGCAGCCAAAGAGATTCAGATTCTCTTCTTTGCTCAGAATTTTCCAGTGGCTTCCCATCTCCACAATCCCCTATAAGGACCATGGCGTGGGCTGACGTGGTTAGCTCACCGACCTCATCTATTACTCTTCCCCTTGCTCATTCTGCACTAGTCACACTGGCTTGCTATTTTTCGAATATGTCACACATGCTCCCACCTCAGGGCCTTTATACTCAGTGTTTCCCCTATAGTTGCCAAATCATAGCAGATCTCAGAAAGACAGGGCAGTATGATGGTTATTAGATGAATTCTGGAGATAGATGTGAATTCAAATCCAGGCTCTTCTACTTAACTCCACTTTATGACCTTGGACAAGTTATTTAACTTGAGACTCAGTTTCCTTACCTCTACAAGATATTAATGAGAGTGCTTTTCTGATAGGATTGTTATTCACATTAAATGAGGTGACGTATTTAAAGAATTCAGCAAGTACTTGCATATAGGGCTAGATAAATGTCATAAAATGTTACAATTATTTTCAACTCTGGCTACTGACAGTCACCTGCGGAGATATCTAAAAATACAGATGTCCAGGTCCTGCCTCAAGGGATTCTAAGTCATTAAGTCAGGGGTTGGGGGCAAGAATCTTTACCTTTAAAAAGCTTCCCAGGTGGTTATTAGGAACAGCTGGAATTGAGAATGAGCTCAAATTATCTCAGAGGGTCTTATTCAGAACCCCAGCCTAAAGGACTGGGGGTAATTAAAGGAGAAGCTCAAGAAACTTTACTTTGAGTCCGTGCTATTAATTATTCAGTCTCTAAACTTGCAGTGTGATACTCACATGATGACTTACCTTCTCTGGGAATTTTATTCTAATTTTAACTGCTGTGTCCTGAGCAACCTTCAGCTGTGTCAGACAGTGAGGTCCTGTTGGAGGTACAGGTCTGATGCAACCAATGAAATATAGATCCTGTTTTAAATGTTTCTTGAGGGAGAAAATATTTTTTCCTACTGAAACATTATTATACGTTATATATTAGGTTTTCTTAACATTCGTGTATATGGCACATATCACCATAATTCCTCTTTGGCAACTGGCTTTGGAGTTGGAAGGAAATAGCGCTTACATTGTGACTTTCACATAAATAAAATAGTATAAATAATTTCTAAAATTGTGAGGATTGAAATGTAAAATTAATATCTGATATCCAAAAGTAAAGATACTTTTTTTTTTTAAGGATTTTTAAAAAAATTTATCAGAGAGATCATGACAGAGAGCACAAGCAGGGGGAAGGGTAAAGGGAGAAGCAGACTCCCTGCTCAGCAGGGAGCTCGATACAGGGCTCTATCCCAGGACCCTGGGATCATGACCTGAACTGAAGGCAGACGCTTAACTGACTGAGCCACCCAGGTGCCCAAAAGTAAAGATATTCTTAAAGTAGTTGCCTAGGCCATTTTTTTGTGTACAAATAGCCATTCCAGCTGAAACCCTCATCTTTCCTGTTTTTATTTTCCTTCTCTCCTGATAGAAACTACGCTGCTCGGTTCCGGCAGAAACGTCTGCAGAGGTACAGTCTGACTCAGTGGGTCGACAGGAACAGGCGAAGCCACCATCGGTTCCAGCGTCTCCCAGACTTCCCATCAAGTCCATTTGTCTCATCCCATCAGCAGTGAAGGTCCCTATCCAGGGTCCTGTTCAGAGCAGCGTCTCATCTTCTGCTCTTTTGTGCTTTGTAGATTTTGAATTTTATTTTTCACAAGATTTTTATTTAAAGAACTTGTCACCTTTTGGAAATTTCCATTGCCGACTTGAAATTTTTTTGTATAAGGTCCTTCTTGTTTGTCTGTGTGCGTGTAAGTTTAAGCACTGTTACATTTTAATTTTTTTTATTTAAATCGAAGGTGGCCACTTCTTGAAAGCCTGCATTAAGCCAGAATACCTAGGCTCAAGCAAAACACCCACCTCGTCACAGAGGTGAAGTCTACTTCTGGTGCCCAAAAGAGAATCATCTTTTAATCTCCTGTAAGGAAGAGATTACCAGGCTGTAAGCCAGTGTTAATTATTGCTGATGACTTATAAGTGGACATAAGTCACTTTTAACAACCCCTTGTACATTTTTATTTGAATCTCTTGAGTACTTGTCAGTATTTTAAAGTTGGTAATCCAGGACATTTGAAGTAGGATGGAGCAGGACAAAAATCCTGTTGAAAGGACAAATTAAAAGTGTAAATCTCTCCTTTTTGTACTTACTAGCTGCCTTTATTTATTTTTTTGCCCCCCCTTCATTAAATATGTTTTGCACAGTAGGTTTACAAATCTTACACATCTTAACTCTGACGGAAGACTGACTAACCCTTGTCGATTTGTGATCTTGTGACCAGTTGTCTTCTCTGCCTTTTCTCAAGGATTTTCCTTCTTTTTTCCCCAGTGACCATTATGCTCCTTAGGTTCTATTGGTGTGTTCCTGTATCCTGTTAGACCTAGGTATGCCTCCTAAGAACAGCCTCCCTGCTCTCTTTACTAAAGAGCTTTCCACCCGGAGTCTTACCTCCAGGACAGGCCAGAAAGCCAGTGCTACTGAGGTGTGAGTTGGTCTTCAGTTTCATCTGCTTAACTCCAACTTCAAGTATGAGTTGATGTGTTAGTCAGTGAGCTCCATCCTGTCGGAGACTTTGGAGAGGCACTTTTTTGTCTCCATTATTAGTTAACAAGAGGTGCCTTTAGCTTCCAGATGTTACCATCTCATTTGGTTAAACCTCTGATACACAGTTGGACAAAACTGCTAATGTGGGTCTAATGTAGTTGTGATTAAGCCTGTGTACAAAAGCATTACCTGATCTAAAGGTTTGGTATTCTAAATTAAATTGACAGACTTTGTGCAGCCATCCTGAAGGATGTCTGAGGAGTTCGCTATTCTTTACAGATGGCTCTAGACAGTTGTTGGGAGGTTTTGCTGTCCCGCATTCGTGCTCTTCACCCTCCGTGAAGGCTGGACATAGTTGCCATAGCACGGCCTGTGATACTGGGCTAACTGCCTCTGTCTGGTTTTGTGTTTTCATCAGCCCCACCTTTGTATGTGAGAAACCCATCTTAAACACCCTACCCTGCTTTAGAAACTGAAGGAAAGGTTTGGTCGTTCAAGCCACCAGTCAACTTAGATGGATGTCCTGAGGTGTTTACTGTTTTCATCTAGGTGAGAATTCTCTTCCTTGGACATTTGGTTTAGATTCTGGGACCAAATGCAAAGAAGTTCTGTTCAAAGGCAAGAGTCAAAATCTGTTATTTCACTTGGCATAATGGACATTTACTACATTAGTCACTTCTCCAGGTTTCCCTGAATTAGCATGATGGAGTAAGATAAGCAGACATCTACCTTTGGAACCATAGCATAATAAAAATTAATTGTAGCTGGAATAACTAGCACTGTAGCTGTCTAGTTGCCCATGAACCCAGGGAGTGAAGGGACAGCATTTTGCTTAGGCTTATCTTCCCACATTCCTGGTAAAGGAGGGTTTAAGTCTGAATGTGTAATGGCAGCATGGCCTTTGCCAAATGAGTGACGGGTTAACTAGAAAATGTGACAATCACATTTCCTCTTTGCTCAAATAATTCTGTTTTTCCAAAGCGTTAGCAGCTTAATTAAATCTGTTGGACTGGGGGAGGAGAGAACTGTTCTCTAGCGGTTAACATGGTATTCTTTAAGAAGAAAAAAAACAAAGCCAAAGAAAACTCATTACCAGGCATGTTTGCCTTAAAGATGGTAGTAGGTAAAATCTGGAGTTTTAATATGTTTTTAAAGCTGCATATCTCATACTTGGTGTTGGGTTCTCAGTCTAGTATTTCGTGAGTTCTTGCTGTATTTTATTTGAGTAAGGGTTATGTGCATTTAACTGCCTACCTAGCTTTCTTCGTTCGTGACTACGTTCTCACCACAGGGGTCTTGACAAAAGAGTAAAAACGTGCTCTTTACATAGTTTACTTATAAGAGCCTGCAATAACCTATAGCTTTGCATCTCGTGCAGGCCTGATGGACTTGAGATGTCAGGATCAATTACGAAACCGAAGTTTGGTGCCTCCTCTTTATCATGTTTTTTCCCTTGTAGCAGTTGTGTTTAATGTCATTAAAGAGAAATAAAAGTTCTTGTCATGGCATATGTACTGTGGCCGTCTGTTGCAGGCTTTGAAGGAGGGTTCCTTCCTCTTTTGCGTAGGCAGGTTAGTGGGGTCTGGGTGGGGGTGGCAGTTAGTAGAGCGTGGTACTGGGGAGCCAAGGGTCCACACTCCCTATTCTTTTGAGGGTAAATTACAGTGTTGAGAAAGGCCTTCCAGCAGGTAAGAAATGTTGAAATTGATTGGGATTTGCAGCTACATGTAGTGCATGTCAGGAGCCTGACATAGGGAAAGCCTGAAATACCACTGTGCTGCTGTTTTTGCAGAGGGGGAGCCTGTTTAGCCCGATCAGACAAGCACTGCGTTCCGTTCCTTCCCATGGCTGTGCGGGGACCTCTCTCTGCCTCTCCTGAGCTGGTGCTGATTAAAGAAGAAGCTGAGTTATCCCAGGGCATTCTCCCTTTGAAAGGGATATGGGAAACCAGAACTGATCGTACAAAACTGATGGTAGTTCTTAACCCAGCTTCTCCAGAAACTGACTGCTCCTGGAACCTGGGATGAAGGTGGAATAAGTGTGGGTAGATGTGGGGGACACGGCGTTCCTTAGAACCCTTTTGTGAACCTGAGCTTCTTAGACTCACCCAGAAGACAGGATAACGGCCATAAAAGCTTGTCACCTGTATTAGCCAAAGCTTTTAAAATCTCAGCTCATGCTGAGAAAATAAGTAGCAACATGTTTGGACAGGCTCTCGGGCTTGCTGTTACGTAAGTTTTGTCTAACGGATATTCTATAGTCCAGGCAAAAGCTTCAATATAGATTTGCTAAATAGCTATTTGGTACTGTCTCACTCTGAGGTACTCTTGACCTATACATACCCATTTTGTTTCTGTCAGGTGTAGATCCTTGGTCCAGTAGTTGCTTATTTCCTTTTTAGCAACGCATTACTACAGACATTAAAGGTCTCAGAGACCAGGCTGCATTCTCTTGAAGTGGTGGTGTTCCTTACCTTTAGTTTGTTTTATGTTATGGAAAAGTGAGGAGGAGGAGAAATGGACCTTCTCTCAAAACAATGGGGTCATTCTCTAGCCTGTTTGGAGCTTTTACAGGAAGAAAAAAACCCCAACCACCTAAAACTAGAAAGAGTTCCCTACTTTTCTTTGTGTTGTCCTGCTTTTCTAAGAGAAAACAATTATTCCTAAGCTGGTTCTAGGGTGTGCTTGCTTTGTATGTCAGAGCACCTGTCAGGAAAAAAATTTCCACTTGTCACAGGAAATATCAGCTGGTCAGTGGTGGAATTCCTTAATGAACAAGCTCCTGCCTTGTCAATCCTCCCCACCTGTCCTCCTCCAGTGACAACTGGAACATGCCACAGACAGAAAATCTGACCTTCCCCAACACCCGTTGAGAAGGGGGTGGAATGTAATCTTTTGGACAACCTGTAAAACACTCCATGTGGTAGTCCTGAATCATTATTATCACTAAGGAACTATTTATATATGAGGATCTCCTTTGACTTAGCTTCAAGTGACACTTGAGGGTTTGAGAATATTGTATAATATTTTGGGAATATTTGGTGGGGCTGGAGCCAGGGGGTGTTTCCCATTTATGGAAGCAATTCGTTCTTGGAGGCCACTTAAAAGCAAAACCCAAAAACTCAAATAGGTTTAAAGAGGGTGAGAAATAACATAGCAATCTAAAACGTCACATGACTGGAGTGGTACGATACTACATATTTTTATAAAGAGCTGAGTTAGAGATCTAAAAAGTGGATTCTGGAGGACGCTACCCTGAAGAGCCTGGGTTGAAAGGATCAGAAAGAGGGAAGGACTCCTGCCCCACAGAAACACGGTCCTTCTTCCTCTTCCAGACCCTGGGGCTTCCCTCTTGTTCCTGGGAGGAAGCCCCCTGGCTCCTACTCCAGGTGTCAGGTGGGCTCTGGGACCCTGTTCGGACCCCCTTGTTCTTGACAAATAAGGAAACCACCCCCCAGAGAAGTAGTGGGCCTGAGGGGTCACTCGGTGACAAGGAAGCCTCGCCTCTCCCCTGGCATTCTCCCACAGGCCCCGCGTGGCCTGCAGGTCAGGCCTCTCAGTCTCCAAGAACTTGCCTACACCCGTCCCAAGCTGTGAGGAATCTGCGGGTCTATGTGGTGAAGAGGGGACCCCGTCAGAGGGGACCCCGTCTCAAGTCATAGCTGTAGGGTTCTGGGCATGATGGCTGGTCCAAGAATAGCTCAGTTGTAGAACTTGGGGTTTAGGGAGGTAGCTACAGGGAATGGGGTTTACCTAAACCAGAGTGTTTCACTCCTCTCCCGTCCCCCTCATACCCTCAGCTGACATACCACAGGCACTGCTAAATCCCTGGCCCCCACAGCCGTCTGTACGTACCTGGTGCTGACTTAGGGGCTTCTGCGCCACGTGGCACTAGACAGGCGCACAGGACACGGAGCCTGGCAAGTACCTCTCTTCAGGTGTGGTTTAGAGTTCTGGGTGCAGACAGATTTCCACGTTCCCACCCAGCCTTTAAGACTTGCTCTCCTCCTCTTGGAACCTTCCATAACAG